TATCCACATACCGGTAGCACTTGGACTTGACAACTAAGCAACGACTGTTACTAAGGGAATTCTTGAAGCTATCTGACGCAGTTTTTGACCCGAACTCCCCTTTTGGGCTTATCCCTCAATATGACAATTATGTGTAAGTAAGACCATTTTGTTGATAGAGGGAGTGAACCCTGGTATTTTCTAGTCCCTACTAGAAAAGTTGGGGAAGAAAATCAGCCTTAGGCTTTCAAATCAAGATGAGGGATATGAAATTAACAGAAGGAAAAATTGACCGATCACGCCTGCTAAATCACGTGACCTACCAGTATAGTGGGTATTAACTGCAAGGTGCGTTTTGAGTGCTGTTTACAAACAACACAGCCAAGTAATGGTATAGTATGCAGCACGTCTGTAGTCTGAGTACGGTACTGGTACCTATCGCCGGCTTTTTTTTTTTTGATAAATGATAATACATGTATAAAACACTTTGCTTCTGAGTGGATGCCATGTTTGTTGATATCTTATACCAAGCATAGGTCATGTGATTTAGTGGGTGCAATCGGTCTATTCCAAGGCTTGGCAGGAATGTAGAGGTACAATGCAGGTGTATGCGTATCATATGCTACATAAGCTGACCAGCAAACTGCTTTGACCTGTATAATGTACATGTTACATGTGAATGCACTATACATGTTTAGTACTGGTATTAGACTATGACTGACATGTACAAGAAGAATGAATGCATGCAATATCAAAGTGAAGATGACATCCCTGGCAAAGTGAGTACCCTTCAAAATAAGGCTCTGTAACCTTCAGCAAGTTAAGGGCTTGCAAAAAAAAAACTCCTCTTCTGCCCAACCTTGTTAAAAAAAAAGTGAAGATTACATTCCTGGCAAAGTGAGTACTGCACAGAGCAAGACTCTGTAACCTTCAGCAAGTTCAGGGTTTGCAAAAAAAATCTCCCCTTCTGCCCAACCTTGATGAAAAATAAATTCATAAAAGACAAATCAACTTACTTTGCAGACTGTCGTCAAGGACGCAGTATTGTAAACTAGAAAAAAAAACAGACTACGTGTATGTTGTTCTGCACGTGTTTGGAACAAGGAGTTGCGACAGGTATAGATCTAATGAAGATGATGTTAGCAACCCACGTCATACGGCTTTCAACAAGCACAGACGCATGGCCATGGCCAACTACGGCAGACAACCCCACCAGCTGACGTCATAATTTACACACGCTCGGACGAGTTCAGGGTAGATCGCCGATAATTACATTCCATTAAATAGAGTTTCCTGTATGCATATGTGAGTGTGAGGTACAGGGAGGGCTATGGCTACAACATGTACAGCATACGACATTCACATCTCTAACAATTTTGTCTTACAATCAAAAGCTGGTACCATACATTGTACATGTAGATTCCATGTCTCAATACACCATTGTCTGTGGCTACTGACACAATGAAGGAGGAATTGAAAAGGTTACAGAACATGAGATGCTATATTGTTGGAGAAATGACAAGTGGCACTTTCTGCCTTGAGGCCTGGGTTCTAATGGAAGACGTACATGTAGATGTACATGTAATTCCTTTTGTCATGTGTCAGTATTCTTACTGAGCAATTCCAATAGCCTAGGGCATAAAACATGTTTACACACCTTGATGTAAAAGGATGCACATATCTCTAAGAACCAAGTGTAGCAGTAAAACTGATACCACCAAAGGAAAGAACATTCAAAGGTTTGAGCCCAACATGTTAGCAACTTTTAAACTACATGTATTAACAATACTACATGTACAATAAGATAACAATGAATGTAGTGCAATGTTTCCTCTCATAAGATTTGTTCAATTCAACATGTACATGTACCTCTCCCATCGCAGCAAAAATGTCCGGCACCAAATACTGAGTGCAATATTTTCAAAGTACGTATAACCTTCTTAGGATATGTTTTTTGAGCTGAAAAAGGTCTCCATTCCATTTTCTAAATTCTGACATGTCCGACTTCCAAGAAAAATAACATGAAAGGTCATTCATGCAGTACTCACATACACTGTGCGCCTGGTTTTCCTATCAAAAAAACACAATTTCCCAATAAAAGCAATTTTGACAATACGATCTGATCACAAAGCATGCTGTACATTCACGTTAATGAAGGCGGTTTTCCTTTGGTCATTGCAAGCACCCAATCAATCAAATGCGACTTCATTTAAGCAGGCAGACGGCGGCAGTAATTAATGATGTGGAAAGAGAACTGCAGGCTGGGCAAGGGTGCATGAATCAGCAAGTGTCTATTGACTACTCAGAGGCCTATCTCTATCCCTGGCTCTGAACAGGTACCAGTATGGACAATTTCAAGTAGCAGGTTTTTAGCCAAGAAAATGAACCAGTCTGGTTCTGACTTGACCAAAAAAAAAAACTTAGGCCTTTATTCACACGTATGTGTACATACGTGGAACTGAAAATTTACAAAGTAACGAGCTCAAGATAAGCCAGGAAGCTGCACGTACTGTACCCTCTACATGTAAGCAAACTACATGTACATGTGTAGCAGTGAGGAAAACAAGTTTAACAATGACATCCTTGTATAGAAATCACAACTGTCAATGACACTATGGCATTTCCCTGCAACAGAAACACATGAACACAAACACTGTAGCAGTTATCTGCTTACATTAGTAATCTCTGTACAAAAGAAACACAGAAAATTAAGCAAACACAAACAGTTCTTTAAGTTTAAGGTCAACTGCAGATGACATTTGACAGACGTCATGTTTTCACACAAATCCAACACAAAAATGAGGAAGAAAGAAAGGAGGAGAAAAAAATGTTGTTCCTGGCTATGTTTCCATCAGATAACTAGGAAAAACCAGGGAACGCTGTTTACGAAGAGAGTTGAGAGCTGTTTTTCACAAACTCCCACAGGGGTAAGGGGATAAAGTCAAAAGTTCATGCCTTTTGTGGCAAAAATACTACAAAAACACATCAACAAAGCCAGGCAGGTGGGCTAACATGGATCTGAATTTCTTCTTTTTAAGGGAGAACATACAATATACTGTACTGTACAGTAGTTTTCTTCATAAAAATTTGAAACTTTATCAGCATGACCCATTCTCCAAGTTACACTTGTCCCTTTGTGGCTAGTATTTGGGTTCAATATCTAGAAGAAGTACACACGTGTGCAAGTAATGAGTGAAGATTTGTAGGGTGTTAGTAGTTGGTTAAGTCTAATTATTGAGCACTTTCTGTAGCAGAGACGGTTATAGTCCTAATGGCTTATTTCAAGAACACTAACTCCCAAGGCACTTTTGCTTAGACATTTTCTCATGTGTGGTACAAGAAAATGTTTCATCAAGCCCTAGGTATTAAAAGCAAAAGGGGCTGGGTTTGGGTTGTACAGTTCTGAAACCACTGAAAATTTGAAACATGTAGAAAAAAAGTTATTTTGCCAGTTCATTGCAGTTATTATTAATAAAAAGTACAAGTAATGTTTCTTTTTACATATATATTAAAAATAAAGCTGGAAGTCTATCTTCAAGAGATTCAAATCATTTGCACCTTCACATACTGGTCCATTTTCCAAACATGAATTCAACCATTTTCCCAAATTTTGTTACTTTGCTGATGAGCAAGATGTACATGTACTCATGCATGTACTTTATATCAGACTGTGGACACTACAAAATTCAGACTTCACTTGAAGTTTTCTGTTTGCAATGGTAGAGATTTCCTGTGATGGTACAGCAACAGAATCTCATCCCTTTGGGACTGCCAGGACTCTCCATATCTGTTTTATATTCATGGACTGATTATACCACAAATCCCGTTCTCTCCCGGAATCCAATACAACAGTGAAATCTAAGACTGATTTTGGTCTGTAGCTAGCTGTAGGATTTTACTGAACATATTTGAATAATGCAGAGTCTGGGTTATCAAGTCAGATCTTCTGAGGGGAAGAAACAGAATGGGCACCACCCGTATACATTTTACATGCAATTGCATCAGATTTCAGCAGATTGGTTTCCGTCATTTCTTATTTCTTTCAATATGGATACAATTAAAAAAATGCACAAACTATTGTGAATATTGATGATGAAATTTGATACTTTTTTCCAAACAAGCTTGGAGGGTCAATGACTCTCAGAGAACAGATCAGAGACTTAGACTACATCTGAATCTGTTGTCTGGAGCTAGGTCTAGGTCTTCATTAAATGTACATTGGAAACACATGTACGTGGAGACACGCAGACAATAGACTTAACCATACAGAAGCTCTGGAC